ATCCTGGAGTAACAAAAATTGGAGGGGCGGGAAGAGGAGGTGCTTCCTTTTAAATTTATTTTTCTTTATAATTTTAGTATAACCACAAGTGAAGTGAAATAAAAAGATATTATCTCTCCTTTCCCATATTTCCCTGCAATCAAACTTGAAATAATAAAGTGTGAAAAAATATGAATGAACTTAAAAATTATAAAAAAATAATAATAATAAAAGAAGGAATTATGGTATTTTCATTAGAAGTTACGTGTCTAATATTACAAGCATTTGACTTTTTGACTATCACTCCGAATTAAGATTTTTTTTCTAGTCATCAAGAAATTTTTTTAATAAATACCTACTTAGTTATACTTTTAAGGTTTTTTTTTTTTTCTACATTGAAAAGTTAATTATTTAGTATTATAAAAATTAAAACTCTCAAGTTTTAGTTAGTGATTTGATTTTTGAGAATTAGGTAATGGATAAATGAGGTTTTGCTTTAAAAGCTGTATGAGAATAAGCAGCAAATGCTTTCTGTACCTCAAATTTCGGAAGGAAGACTCGGTGAAGTACTCGGGAGTACATCTATCTTTCGTTGAACTATTATGGCCACTTCATTTTTTTTAAAATTTTTTTTTAAATTATACAATAAAAAATAATATTTTTTCATTCATTAATTTACCGCATTCATGTACTATATAAATCAAATTTAACTATTCAAAACTTTTTACTTCTATTAAAAGGAGGTTATCATTAAATTATGTAGTTTAATAGCCATTACTTCAATTATTTTATAATTTTTTATTGTAAGATATATAATAAAAAATAATTTTCTTCTAATCATTAATTTATCTCTACTCGTATACCATGTGATTCGAATTCAAAACATTTTATTTCCACTAGATTGAAATCATCATTAAATTATTTATGCTGTTAACAATTGTTATTGTAATTTATTGAGAGATCTTTTTTAACAATTGAGATGAATAGAAAACAGATAGAAAATAGAAAATCACTTGGAAAGAGACTAAAATACTGGCCTTTCTTTCTTTTCTTTTCTTTTTTTTTATGAGAAAACATTTGGAATGAATTAAATTGTCTTGGCTCACTGGGTTCGCCATTAGGCTAGGAATTTGAACTAATAACTTCACAGAACACCTGGCTATCCAAAAAAATCTTGAGATTGCAGTTGATAAAGGCTTTCGAAAACTTCCCATTGAAACTGATTCTATGTTTGCCGTGTATGCTCTCCAGCAAGATGGCATCTCCAACACTCATCTTCCTATTGTTAAATCTTGCAGATTATTGATCCCTCTACTTGAGGAGGCCCCAATTCTTCATGTTTACCGAGAAGGAAATATGGTGGCGAACGCTTTGGCCAAGTTCAGTACTACTATGAAGACAAACTTTTGTATTTTTGGTCTGTTCCATCTTTTTGTAACTTTGCTTATGGCCAAGATCTGGCGAGTGGTTCTAAGTACCACCATGCAAACTAAATTCGGTTTTTTAATAGATTTCCCCTTTACACCAAAAAAAAAAAAAAAAAAAAAAAAAGTCTAAAAGAATCTACCATTCAGAACCAAAAATGTCACAAGTTTGACAGGGGACAGAAGACTCGGCGGAAGGCCGAAGGGCACATCATGAATTAGGGGTGGAAACCAGTCTACTCGAACCTAATATTGTGAAATTCGATGTCAGTTTATTTAAGAAAGAATACAAGTCTGAGTGTGAGCTATTTACTGCAACTTTCGAATTTTGTAAAGATCTGGCATGTGGGGAAATGAAAGGGATCATGTTTGAGATATTTAAGCTGTTCGGTTGATGGGAAATTGTAAGGAAACAATAGAAAGCAAATACAGATAAAGAGATATGAAATCTGTATTGGATGCGGGACAGCTTATTTGTATGGTGGGCTTTAGGATTCAGGACTCGTTTGAAGGTAGTTTAGGCTATGAACAATCCGTGTGAACAGTAAAAGATGATAGGAATACGGTTTAGAAGAGAAGGAAGAGTAAGGAACCCTAGGTATCACACCTAACCAGCCTTAGGAATCACACCTAAGAATGATTGCTTCTCACAATCAAGATTGCTTCACACAATCAAGAGCATAACTGCTGGAAATTCCTTAATATCATTAACTCTCCCTTTTAATGGAACCACAAGCACACACATATATATACAGAACTACTAAAACTCCTAATAGAATTCTCATTTAGAAGTTCTAACCCAACTAGGCTCACCTTTTGTAAACCATTGGGGGTTGCGGCCGGTGTGCTTCATCAGTATTATTCTTGAATGAATTATCACCTTAGTTTACAGAGAAGGGCTCAGCTTGTTTCCACTTTTAACCATCATCTACCTTCCTCCAAAGTAGTCATTAACTCAGAATTTGCTTCCACTTTGCTAGAAGAAGTTGCGCCAGAGAGTGACCTTCTTAGAACAAATGCAGGCTGTTTTGGTTTTGGAAGAGTTGCGACTTCATTTCCAAGCATAAAAACCACGTTTGACATGGTGGGACGATCACTCGGGTCTTCTTGTACGCACAAGAGTCCAACATTAACACACCTAAGAAACTCACTGGTGTTGCAAGTTTCACGTAATGTCTGGTCCATCAAGTCCAAAGCTCTTTCTTCTTCCCACAATCTCCATGTCTGACAAAATTTTCAAATGAACCTTAGCATGAAATGGAAAACAACATAAGTAAATAAACAATAATATTGTCAAGAGACCTACATAACCCAGAAGACTCAGGGCTTGCTCTGACTGATAAAATCCAGTGTTCCTTTTTCCACTGATAATCTCAAGAACTACCACGCCAAAGCTAAAAACATCGGACTTGAATGAGAAAAATCCATCCAGTGCATACTCTGGAGACATGTAACCACTGCATAACCAAATTTACTTCACATTCATTAGAAAAAGGATAAATCTGGGGAGATTTAGTTCAAAAAAAGCAGTTTCAGATTACTTACTAAGTACCAACAACTCTGGTTGTGCTTGCCACCGTCTGTCTGCTTCCAAAAATTCTAGCCAAGCCAAAGTCAGATATTTTTGGATTCATTTCTTCATCTAATAGGACATTGCTTGTTTTCAAATCTCTGTGAATAATCCTCAGCCTAGAGTCCTGGTGAAGATAAAGCATCCCTCGAGCAATTCCAAGAATAATGTCAAAGCGCATCTCCCAGGTCAATAACAAACATCGTGTTCGGTCTTGCAGGGTTATCATTTCAGGTAAATGAATTAATTTGTAAACATTATAAGCTAACATTCCATTGATAAGAGTACGGTGGAAAATTTTTAAAATTCAGGTTTAGAGACTAACCAAATATGAAGGAGTCCAAGCTTTTGTTGGGCATATATTCATACATTAACATTTTCTCTTGTCCTTCAACACAGTAGCCCAGAAGTCTAACAAGATTCCGATGTTGAAGCTTGGCAATCAGTACAACCTCATTCTTGAATTCTTCTAAGCCTTGCCCTGAACCACTAGAGAGCCTTTTTATAGCAATTTCTTGTCCTCCTGGATACTTACCCTGAGTATAGAATTCCAAATACAAGTATACAATGGCCATCATTAATATGAAATGCTTGGAGCCAAAAAGGGGAACTTCAATGACTTCAAAGGACATGGCAATACCTTGTAAACAGGCCCAAACCCCCCTTGTCCAAGCTTGTTTGCATCCGAGAAGTTATCAGTAGCAGCTATTATGCTTTCTAGATCCAAGAACGGTACATCTATGTCCTTTTTATCATCTTCTCCAAACTGGCCAGAATTTATAAAGTCTTTGACACGCTTTTCACTGTCATGCAAACAAAGTGCCAGATTTCCCTTACTGCTTTCCCTTTCCCTTTTTTCTAGATCTGAAAGACAAACTCCACATTTTATTTCTTTTTGTCACTGATTAGAGAAGGGAAATAACAGAATTTATCCTCATTTTTGAGAAAATAAATGCTAATAGAATAACAATTACCTTGTCTATTGACCAGCCTTCTCTTCCTCTTATGATACACAAAACAAAAGCAGATGATTAGAGTGGCTGCAATAACTCCAGCGATGACCAGATATAATGGCTTCCATTCCTCATGAGATCTTTTGTTTTGGTTAGGGTAATCAGCTTCAAAAGTAGAACATGAGTATGTAAGTGACCAAGTGACTATAGTGGATATAACACGAAGAAGTTTAAAGGATGATAGAGACTACTAAATCATTAACCCTACATATTAGTAAAAAAAATGATTGCTCCTGTATTTATTAATAATTTCCTAAATCTAAATCCAGAAATTCTGTTTGAAGCCATCAGATGCAATCAAGATAGAATTCAAGGACTGCATCAGAATAATTTCAAGAAAAATGTTTAAAGTGAGTGAAAGCAAGAAAATAGAAGACATTAAGATAGGTGCAAGCATGTGGAAGGGATTGTGAAGGTCAAGTAAGGTTCTCTTTAAGTGCAATTAGACAATTACCTTCAACACTACTACATTACATATCCATGCAGCATTTTCTAATTCATTATTACCTGTTAAAATAATAATAGACTCTCAAAGGCACAGCATAGCATTTGCCATGTACAATATAGCTGTCTCACCTGAAGTGCAATTAACTGTTGTGGGATCCCATTGAAAGGATGCATTGGTTGCATTGCCTGCATAGCATAAGCACCTTCTCTTCCTGTCTTTTGCTACCAAACAAGATGAGTTTGGCCAATCACTACAGTCTTGGGATGTATTACAGAGAGGCTCTAAGGGTGGTGTCCACCCAATATCTATTTCAAACCATTCACTGTCAAATAGAGAATCTGTACTGAAGTCTCTTTGGTTAGAATTGCATCCACTTCTCACATAAAATGGAGATGAACGGTCAAGCTGTAGAAACCTTTCCATCATTTCCTTTGATTTACAGTTTTCTGCATTTTTAACATCAATGGAAAATTTTTGTGACTCTGGATTAATGCTAGTAACTCGATATCCCCCACCACTTGCATTGAAGTAAACCTGACCAGTGAGATTGTTAGTTTCACAATAGAAACTGAAGTACATGGGATCACCACAGCTTGTTCCAGTGCTTAGTGGGTAGGGAATCATGTTAGTGCCACAAGTCTCACAACTTCTTTTTGTTGGTTCTGCAAGAGTGCAATGTCTAAATGTCATAACAATGAATTCATAACCTACAAACATAAATAAATTTCTCTAGGGCCACTATTTTGTCAAGGTGCAGAAAGAATTGATGAAACTTGACATTCTTCGAGTAATTCTCCCGTTTTAATTAAGTTAGCCAAAATACATAATCCTTTGACTCGACAAGAATTAACCAAGTGCAACATAAAATTTTTTCCAAAAGCAACCATTACACCATCACATTGTGCAGTAGTGTGTCTAACATTTAATTATAAACACTAGGAAAAAGAAATGAAACAGCAACTGCTCTGGAAGATGGTCAAATTTTTATGCAGCATAGAACCATAATAAGGAGTCACTAACAAGGGAAATAATGCATGTGCCATTGCTGGTACATTTTGGACAAATTTTGGTTATGAGCATTTGAAAGATTGGGGAGTTAATGGCCAAATGTTGGGCAAATCACCTTCTAATATTTTTGAGTTGAAGCAAATTAGCACCCAAAAAAAAAAAAAAGTTGAAGCAAATTACCACCTCAAATTTTCATTTTAAAGAAATTGGCCCCAATTTAACTGTTGTTTTTAACATTGCATTAGAATTCAAGAGAAATAATACAGTACTTGAAAGAAAGACCAAGTATTCAGATTCAAGCTACTGCAACAAAAACCAAAAATGAAAGACTAAATTATAAGTACCTATCTCTGAATGCATCAGACGGAGATAAATGTCATGACCTCCATCAATTTGATCCTCCGAGATATTGTTTAGGGCTTTTTTCCATATTGAGCACGTAGCATTACCTATGAAGTTAAGATCCCTTCGGTAGGTTTCAGATTCAGTATATGAATAAGCCTGGCACTCACAGTCGTCAAGGCACCATTTTTTACAGTCACTTACATTATGAACTACAAATTCTGAATCACTATCTGCAACTTTTATCATGCTTAGCCTCAAGAAATTATTGATCCTCGAGTTCTTGCTACATATTGGAGATTTTCTGGTGCATCCATCAGAAAATTGTTCAGAGTTCCAATTATCCAGTGACTTTGGCTTAAATCCAGGTAAGCATTTGCAAAACAACCTGTTCTCATTATTGCAGCTACTAAAGCTACCACAAGCGTGACACCTATCTGGTCCTGACCATATCAAAAACCAAGTTTTTGTCATATTTTGCAACCTAAAGAACTGCAACTGACCATTCAGACTCATCACCAGTCTCGTGTTGTTACAGTTCAGAGTTTGCACAATAATACATTTAGATTTACCCTGGCGTGAACAAGTTACCTGATCACTGTTACAGGAATTCGACAGAAGACGCAAAACTAGTGGATGAATCTTAATATTGATACTTAATTTTCCCGACAAGCTGCTTGGCATCAATCCCTCTTTAACGATGATGTATTGCCCTTGTTGCTCTGGATCTATA